GAGAAGTCACCCTTATCCTTAAAAAAGGTAAAAAAAAAAAAGAAAAAAGAAAAAAAAGATTATTTATAATATTGAAGTGTAAAAATTCCAAAATGCCCCTAAACTTTCCTAGGTAAGTGGGGAAATTACTTCCCATGCCTATTCCAAACACTCTCTTAGTTCAATTAGGAGTTATCTTTCTTTTAGACCTTGTTTGGTTTAAGGGCAATGTTACTTAAAAAAAATATTATATAAAAAGTTAAAATGTATTATATGAAAAGTTAATAGTTTTTTTAATTATATTTTATTGGGGTTATTAACCTTTTTATTTTGGATAAGATATTGATAATAAAAAAATTATTAAGTAGGTTTCACACTCAAAAAGTTAGGAGAAAAATTTTACTTTTAAAAAATATGAGAAGAAGAGATTATTTATTAAAAATTGTATAAAAAATAAATATTAAAGATATTAACATTCATCCTTATTTATTGTAATTATAAGATATGAATATACTTCAATACCCCGCAACTTTCCCAGATATGGGGAAAATAAGTTTCCAAGCCAAACTCATGCATAATTGGGAGAAAGTTTTTCCTCCCTTACTCAAGAAAGTTTAAGAAAATTTTAACATTTGATGTCTCAATACGATAACAAATAAATGACAAAATTTAAATTTTTACCTTCTAATTTCTTTAATACAGTTTTTAATAAAAAAATATTTTCTTCCCATCTTTTAAAGAAAAACTTTGCCCCTACCATGGACAGAGCCATGAATAGACAAGGGGGCAGCTGCCCCCATTAGAATTTTGTGAAAAAAATGTTTTAGTCCCAAATCTTTATATTTTTTTTATTTATTATCACTAATTTTTTTGTAACGTTTATGATAACAGACCCTACTAGCTCTTGCAGTTCTAGTAATTAAATTCAAACTAAATGTAAAGATAGTAAATGGTAAATTCTCTAAGGATGACTTATTAAACATAAAAAATCTTTTTTTAATCTCTTACTTTTATGGTAAAAAAAATTTAGACTTCTGACACTTTTCCTTTCTCCCTCCTTTGTTTCCTAGAAAAGTCATAGATAGATGTTAGACATGTTTCTTTGTTTTGTAATTTGATTGTGATTTTTTGTTCTAAATTTTAATTCTTTATAAAATATGACATTTTTTCTCCTTTTTTCTTTTCTTTTTGCCTCATGCTAAATTTGCTAATAAGAAAGTATTTACTATAGTCACCAAAAATTATAAAGAATATATATGATTTATACAAGACATATTAAATTTCTTTATTTTGTCATGTGAGATTGATGCTGCTACGGATGATCACTTTATGTTCTTCTCTTGTTGTTGCCATCTTAGAGCATTTATCAAGCTTCGTTTTTATCTCTATTTTTTA